TATAATCCACAGTGTCTTTTCCATGTTCACAAGCACGGGACAGCTCTCCATGGGGTTTATCCATCCCCAATTTTCCAACACAAGCTGCTCACAGAATCCTCCCAGGGGCTTGGGAGGGGCTGGGAAGAGCAGCCCACTCTGCAGAGCGGTGATGGGTGTAAACCTCACAGGAAGAACCCCAAAAAAACCCAGACCAAGGCCAGAAGGAGCATTTACAGGGGATTTGCCCCTTTGGGGTTTGGTTTCCCAGGAGGTTTGATACTGTAGGGTTGGGTTTCCCAGGGGTTTTGCCTCTATAGGGTTGGGTTTCTCAGGGGTTTTGCCCCTTTGGGATTTGGGTTGGGTTTCCCAGGGGTTTTGTCCCTGTAGGGTTAGGGTTTGGTTTCCCAGGAACTTGCCCCTCTAGGGGGCAAGGGTTAGGTTTCTCAGGGGTTTGTCCCTTTGGGGTTGGGTTTCTCATGGGGTTTTGCCCCTGTGGGGTTGGGTTTCTCAGGGGTTTGCCCCTGTGGGGTTTGGGTTGGGTTTTCCAGGGTTTTGCCCTTTTGGGGTTGGGGTTGGGTTTCTTAGGGTTTTGCCCCTTTGGGGTTGGATTTCCCAGGGGTTTTGTCCCTGTAGGGTTAGGGTTTGGTTTCCCAGGAACTTGCCCCTCTAGGGTTAGGTTTCTCAGGGGTTCGCCCCTTTGGGGTTGGGGTTGGGTTTCTCAGGGGGTTTGCCCCTTTGGGGTTGGGTTTGCCTCTGTGGGGTTGGGTTTCTCAGGAATTTGCCCCTGTAGGGTTGGGTTTCCCAGGGGTTTTGCCCCTTTGGGGTTGCGTTTCTCAGGGGTTTTGCCCCTGTAGGGTTGGGGTTTGGTTTCTCAGGGGTTTTGCCCCTGTGGGGTTGGGGTTGGTTTTCCCAGAGGTTTTGCTCCTGTGGGATTTGGTTTCCCAGAGTTTTGCCCCTTTGGGTTTGGGTTTCCCAGGGTTTTGCCCCTTTGGGGTTGGGGTTGGGTTTCTTGGGGGGGTTTTGCCCCTTTGGGATTGAGTTTCCCATGGAGTTTTGCCCCTGTGGGATTGGGTTTGGTTTCCTAGAGGATTTGCTCCTGTGGGGTTGAGGTTGGGTTTCTCAGGGGTTTTGCCCCTGTGGGGTTGGGGTTGGTTTTCCCAGAGGTTTTGCCCCAATAGGGTTGGGTTTCCCAGGGGTTTGCCCCTTTGGGGTTTGGTTTCCCAGGAGGTTTGATACTGTAGGGTTGGGTTTCCCAGGGATTTGCCCCTGTAGGGTTGGGTTTCCCAGGGGTTTTACCCCTGTGGGGTTGGGGTTGGGTTTCCCAGAAGATTTGCCCTTGTGGGGTTGGGTTTCTCAGGAATTTGCCCCTGTAGGGTTGGGTTTTCCAGAGGTTTTGCCCCTGTGGGGTTTGGTTTCTCAGGGGTTTTGCCCCTGTGGGATTGGGTTTGGTTTCCTAGAGGATTTGCTCCTGTGGGGTTGGGGTTGGGTTTCTCAGGGGTTTTGCCCCTCTAGGGTTTCGTTTCCCATGGGGTTTTGCCATGGGAAAGCTGCTCCTGGCTCTGTATCCCGGTACCCAAACTCCATCCTCCTCACACACAACATTTGTAGGACTCCTGCCCCTGCCCAGCATATCAAAAGGGTTTTTTCTTTCCCCTATAACACACATGGATTGAGCTGGCGGTGTCCTGGGAGCAGGAGGAGGCTGCTGGTCCCACCCTCAGCAGCGCTGCCAGGAGCAGCTCCAGCCCAAAGCCACAGAACTGGGATTTCCAGGGGAGTTGCACAACTTTGAGCCTTTGAAGGATTCTCTGGGACTCCCCACAGAGCTGAGGAACGAGCTGAGCCCCAAGGGTGAGCTCCTGATTCTCCTCAGCAGCTCCATTGAGCCAAAACTGGGCAAAATTCCTGCAGGAACAATGGGCACGGGCCATGTGAGGATATTTTACAGCATTAAACACCCTTGTCCTTCCAAAATCCCAGCTTTTTATCCCTTTTCCATCAGGAAATTGTACAGGAAATTCAGGGTTTGGAACTCAAGGTTTGAAACTCAGAGTTTGAAATTCAAGGCTTGAAATTCAAGGTTTGAAGTTCAGGGTTTGAAACTCAAAGTTTGAAACTCAAGGTTTGCTCCTCACCTTTG